GTGATAACAAATGCCTAGTTTTTAAAAGTGGAATCTTAGGGGTTTTTTTAAGATTTTATTTATTTGACAGAGAGAGACACAGTGAGAGAGGGAACACAAGCAGGGGGAGTGGGAGAGGGAGAAGCAGGCTCCCAGCTGAGCAGGGAGCCTGATGTGGAGCTCGATCCCAGGACCCTGGGATCATGACCTGAGCCGAAGGCAGACGCTTAATGACTGAGCAACCCAGGCGCCCCCTTAATTTTTTTTGAATTTTATTTGGTTACCCATTCCCCATCATCAACATTCCCCATCCCCACTAGCTCATGCTGTTTGTAACCTTCCATATTTCCCTCCATGGTTTCAAAATTGTAAACAGGAAACATACATAAAGACATACACATTATATAGGGTGCCCTTTTTTTTTTTTTTTTTACAAAATTGCACTATGTTATACCTGCTTTTCTGCAACTCGCTTTTCTTTTACTCAAAAGTACCTTATGGAAATCTCTGCAGTTCATTCTAAATGGATGGATTGTAGTTTATGGTGTATTATATTCAATCATTTCTCTGTACATGGGCATTCGCAATTTCCAATTTTTTCCCACTATAAACAATGCTGCAATAAACATACATTTATGTATATATTCTTATATATATGTATACTTATGTATATATTCTTATATATTGTTATTGATGGCTTTGTTTTTATGGGATAGGTTCCCAATAGAAGTGTGTGTGTGTGTGTGCGCACGCTGTTTTAAAACACTTTATTGTAAGTACAACTTAAAATCTTTATTGAAGTTTAACATTCATATAGAACATATAGGCAGAAAGGTAAAAATCATATAGTTAAGTAACTTCATTAATTTTCAGGAAGTAAATAAATCTTTGTAACTAGCACCCACATCAAATAGAAAATTACTATCACCTCAGAAATTCCTCTCATGCTCCTATTTACTAACTCCCTTCTAAAGTGAGTATTATGTGGACTTCTAAAACTACGTATTAGTTTTTGCCTGTTTTTGAACTTTATGTAAATGGAATTTTTAAATTTAACAAACGTCACATTTTTTCCCCTAAGAACTTAGAAGACTTATTTTAACCCTCAAAGTTAACCTTCTACATCTCCGACAGCAATATGTCATTGTTTTTTTTTTTTTTTGCTGTTTTCATTGTTAAAATAATTTTCCTAACTACAGATTAATTTGAGCATTTAAAAAATATATTTGCTGGCTATTTGATTTCATTTTCCATAGCCCATTCATATCCTTTCCATTCTACAATTAGCCTGATTCTTATCAACTTCTAAGAGCTCTTTATATATATCTTGACCCTTGTCTTTTACATTACCAATTTTCCCCAAATCTGTTATTAGCTTTGTTTATAGTATTTTTTACCATACAACTTTCAAATTTCTACATAGTCAAATATGTCTGTCTTTTGTTTTATAGCTTCAGAATTTTCTTTCTTAATGACGATCTTCCTTGCCCTTGGCCAGTCTCAAATACTATAGCTCTTCAGGGTTTAATTTTAGGCTCCCTTCTTTTTTTTGTCTACAAAATCCCTAGTTGATGTCATCCATTCCCATTGCTTTAAACCTCCCCCAAATGCAGATGATGCCCGAATGTGTAGCTCCAGCCCAGACCTTTGAGCCTCAGTAACATCAATCTGTCTACTGTCAGGGGTGTGCTAAGTCCTGGGGGATACAACAGTATGTGGTCCCTGCCCTCCAAGCTTATTAGAGGAAGTAGATACTGTGTTAATTTAGAGGGATAACTGGGAGACTTGATGATCTCATACACATTTTGTACTGCTATAAGGGAAAGGCTACAGCCAAAAGATTAGTTCCAGAATATATGTAGAACTACTACAGATCTATTAGAAAATGTCAACTCAATAGAAAAACAGGCAAAAGAAAAGAAAAGTAATTCTTGGAAAAGAAAACCTGAGCGGCCAATAAACATGTAGGACAATCAATTTCACTAGTCATCAGAGAAAATAAAATGAAATACCATTTTGTTCAGGGCACCTGACTCACTCAGAAGAGCATGCAACTCTTGATCTTGGGGTTGTGAGTTGGAGCTCCACATTGGGTGTAGAGATTACTTAAATTAATAAATAAAAAAAAACTTAATAAAGTAAAATGATATAGGATTTTTTAAAAACCACTGGATTGGCAAAATTTTTAAATCCTGACTACTTCAAGTGTTGAAAACATGAGGAAAAGAACTTCTGCTGGTCAAAACTTATAATGGTACAACCACCTTTGAGAGCAATTTGGCAAATACCTAATACTGACAATACACCTACCCTTTGATTTAGCAATTCCACTTCAGAGTGTCCTTAGGGCAGTGCTTCTGAATCTTTGATGTACATATAAATCACCACGGGGCCTTGTTAAAACACAGATTGTGTTTCAGTAGGCCTGGGGAAGGACCAGAGATTCTTAATTCCTAACAAGCTCTTAGGTGATGTCATTGCTGCTGGTCCAGGGACACCTTTAAACAGCAAGGCCCAAGAGAAACTGATGCATATCCTCAGGGGACATACACAGAGATGTTCATTAGAACACTGATGATATTAACGAGCTTCTGAAAACTATTGAGGTGAGTAGGTAGCTAAATTCGTATGGTTAAAAGCAAGAGTTAAAAGGAACTAGAGTTGCACATGCCAACTGAGATAAATCTCAAAAACAATGTTGAGTGGGCAAAAAAGCAAGCTGCAGGAAGGATACAAGAATAGGATATTTAACATTTTAAATAATACTGTGTATTGTTTAGAGATGTATGCCTATATGGTAAAAGAATGTAGACTTGCATGGGAATGATAAACATCCAAATCATGACAGTGATTACTTGGGCAAGGCAGGGGCCTGGGGATAGGGAGGGCATATGGCACTCACTTCGGTACTGTAATGTTTTTGTTATTAACCTGGGTGAATGGTATGCCCAGTTAAAGAATACAACTGTCATATTTCTATTTTTTGTACATCTCAAGTATCTCATTCAACAACTAAAACAACAAAACAAATAGGCTCATTTTTTAAGATGAGGAGCCTGAGGCTCAAGAACTGACCCTGTGCCAAACTTCAAATCCAGGCTGTGCTCCTTTTGCATCACGATGCTGCTTTGCATTAACAAAACAAACAGGTTCACCAAGTCAGAAGCAAAACTACCTCCTCAGGTTTGGTTTCCACAAAGACTGAATCAAACTGTATCCTCAAGTGTTTGCTGTAGGACGGGATGCCCCTGAAAAGCACAGGTTTTGACCTCTAATAACTAGAGTTCAAAACAAAGTGCCTAAAAACATTTGCTTTGTTTTTGGACATGGTCTGAATCTTTTTTTTTTTTTTCTGTCCCAGATAAAATATGGCCATTAGAAGAAGCCCATTATTCAAGAGAAAGGAAAACAATACCCAAACACTTGACAATACCCAAATGTGAGTTTAAGAAGCCCCAGAAGAGTCCCTTTTTGTTCATCTGGTTTTCCAGGGGCAGTGAAGCGGAGCTGGGGGATGGAGGAGGGAGAGCAGGGGGTACTTTCTGTCAAGGTAGTGTGTGCACCCGCCAATTTGGGAAGACTTGAAAAAAAAATGTTAGAGGAAGCAAGTAGTCACAGGCTAATTTTACTATGCTCGCTCTGCCACCCAGCACGTTGCCTACCTGGCCCAGGCCTGTTTGAGCACCCTCCCTCTTTGTTCTCTTGGTTCCTTTTTCCTGGCCCTTGAACCTGGTTGTGCCTCTGTTCTGCCCCAGATCTCTTAGAAATATGTTAGTGGCAGGGAGATTAGTAGTAAAGGGCATGGGTTTCAGTGTCGGAAAAAACCTGGGTTTAGATCCTGCCCGTGCCGGGCGCCTGGGTGGCTCAGTTGGTTAAGCGTCTGCCTTCGGCTCAGGTCATGATCCCAGGGTCCTGGGATCGAGCCCCACATCGGGCTCCCGGCTCAGCGGGGAGCCTGCTTCTCCCTCTGACCCTCTCCCCTCTCATGCTGTTTCTTTCTCTCTTAAATAAATAAATAAATAAATAAAATCTTTAAATCCTGCCTGTGCCACTAGTGAGGAGCTCAGGAAACCCAAAGCAGCGAAGGCAGGCCAGTGCTGTCCACAGAATGTGGTAGGATGAGGGATATGTCTGTATCTGCACTGTCCAGTGCGGTTGCCCCCAGCCCCAAGCGACTACTGAGCACTTGAAATGTGGCTAGTGTGATGGAGGAATTTGTTAACAAATGTATTTAATTTTAAGTAATTTAACTCAAATAGCCACGTGACTGATGGCTCCCATATTGGACAGAGCAAGTCTAGAAAATGGAGAACCTCTCCTCTCAGAGGATCGAGGTGGTAACGGACATGAGACACCCTGCTAAAAGGCCCTACTGGTATGCTATATCCTGCCCTGAAAGACCGTCACAATCTCAGGCACTGCCCCTTCTGGCGAGGCCGCCTCGGGGAGTGTGCCTCACCTCCCAACACCAGATGCAGCTCGACATTTTCAGCACTGCCTGAGGATGCAACTGAGGCAGCCTGGTGTCAAGAAGTTTGCTTCTTCCTCCTGTTCTTTTGTCCTCACTGTGCTGATTAAACAGAATGACTACATTTTCAGAAACCCATTTTTAATTAAATTCTTATATGACACTACTTGGCATTTCTTTAATAGTAAAGTTTCCAGATAGAAAACGTTACTCATTTTCTCCAGTTAAACTAATCATATCATTATGTACCAACCGCTTTAAACTAAAGAGACAATCTACCTCCATAAGTTAAAAATACACGAAGATAGGGGCACCTGGGTGGTGCAGTCGGTTAAGCGTCCGACTCTTGGTTTTGGCTCAGGTCACGATCTCAGGGTTGTGAGATTGAGCCCTGCATCAGGCTCTGTGCTCAGCACGGATTCTGCTTGAGATTCTCTCCCTCTGCCCCTCCCCTGGTTCATGTGCTCTCACTCTCTAAAATTAAAAAAAAAAAAAAAAAAAATTTTTTTAATGAAGACATCCATTTTCAGAAACACAAATCAAACAGCACCAATTTTATTTTATAGTATTTATTAAAAAGTTCCTCTTGTAAAACATGAGTGATTTTGGTCCATATCTTATTTTCCATTTGGCTTTAAAACATTTTATATTATTTACAAAATGAATTGCAATTTTTATGATTATACATAATTTTTTTTGACCCTTGGAATATTACAGTTTCAAGTAACTAAAAAATAAACACCTGGCAGACTAAGTGTACTGAAAAGTACATAATGAACATATTTAATTACCACAGTAATTTAAAAGTCTTGATCTTTACCTCTTAAGATTAAAATTCACTATCATGAAGTCATTCAAGAATCTCTGGAATTTCTCTATTATCCACAATGAGACTATGGATAATCCCTTCTTTCCGCTTCCCACTACTGACAGCCTTTATGTAACAGTCATGGGTCCCAACACTGAAGTGAGTTTCAGTCCCGTCATCTACAAACTCACCCTAGGCCAACAAAAGAAGGAGGAATTAGTGTTCCAGAAACATTTAACTTTGTCTAGAGCATTAACACCATCTAAAAAGGGCGGCATAATGAAGTATCTATTAGCTCAATGTTAAACTTTGGGAAATTAAAGTTAGAAGCTTGTATCGCTAGATGCTTTTCCATCTCTGCTGTGAACTGAACGTTTCTTATTTGTACCTGCTTACTATCTTGAACAATCTTAAGTTTCAGAGGAAAAAAGCCCCTTACATCTTGTGGCTGTGTGTCTGTAACACGCACTATGAGATAAGAGTGACTATTTTTAAAAGTAAAAATAATAAGCATGATAGCAAGCACTTATTTTATCCCGAGTCACTTACTCTATATCAAGAACAGTTTGCACACGTTACTTCATTGCACCTTCACCATAACCCTGACAGAAGCACTATTACTATCCTCACCGTACAGGCGAGGGAATCGAGGCACGGAGTGGTGAAATAACTGCGGGAGGCCCCAGTCAGGAAGGGAGAGAATGTTCTTACCCACTCCGAAAACCCGATTCCTCAGATCGTAAGGCGGCTTACAGTAAAATACACAGATAACTAAAACCGAGCACTACCCAATCTCGCCCTGTTCTGTCCGCACAGCAGCTACCAGCCGCGGGGGGCAACCGAGCACTGAATGTGCTGAGTCTGAAATGCCCTGTGCTGTTTCAGTGCAAAATACACACGGAGTGTGGAAGACTTAGAATGAAACAGAATGTGAAATAACTCTGAAACCTTTTTATACTGATGTTAAAATACAGTATTTTGGATATAGTGATTTAAATCAAAGATATTATTAAAATGAACTTCACCTTAAAACTTTTAAAATGTGGCTACTAGAAAAGTTACACATGAAACTCGTGCCTGTGGCTCATGTTACATTTTTACTGAGCAGGACTGATCTAGAGTACAAAGACAGGGGCCAGGTAGTGCAGAGAAGAAAGGAAGAACAGGAGGCTCTGAGGATGAAAGTGGAGTATGGCGGAAAGCAACGAAAGCACAATCAGACTTAAAACTTGGCTTCGAGCTTCCTGGCAGCCAGAGCAGACCGAGCGGGGTCCCACGCCTACGAAAGCACTGGATGCACAGGGGAGAGCTTTTTCTGAGCTGTGGGGAGGATTTGGCCGGTGGCTCTTTACCGGAGGTGTACTGACACCACCACAAGGACCCTGCAGGTGCACGATTTGCCAGATACATAATCTTGGTCATGGAAAGAAAAAGGAGGAAATAAACTGTAGCTCCCAGGCAGCAAGAGCAGGTGTGCGCATCCTGGGGAAGGCGGCCCAGATGCGGAGCTGCAGAAACTACTCTGCAAATTAGGTTCGAGTTACAATGAGGAGGCACCTGGGTTGTAAAGAGCTACTGTCCAAACACTTGTGGTTCCCTGCTAATTACTGAGGAACAGACACTGTGGATGAACATTACTTTCAACTTCTTATTTACAACCACATTCTTAATACCACAAAACAACATTCTCTTTACATTTGCATTGGAGAATTCCTTGAGAGTGGGAGGGAACAGGATTCAAAACTGCCAACTCGGCATCTAGAGAATTCTAGGGTAGGAAGGAAAGGACAGGAAGGACCAGTAGGGGCCTGATCCACGCTAATGATAACTGAAGGTATTCCACAGGGGTCACAAAACACTGATGGAGCTCTCCAAACGTCTCTGCATAAAAGAAGTCTCTGTCAGTAGATTTAACCCGGAGAGTGAGTGGCTCAAGCTCTGGTGATGGATTCTGAGTGATCCCTGATTAAATAACCCTTCAAGAATTCAAACCAGGATTAAGAGAGAAGCATCTATCTTTGTAACATTTGATTTCCGGCACAGGCACTTCCTCAGAAGCAGACAGCCACAAGACCCAGCAGGTAGGTCCTAGATAGCTGCTGAATAAACGCATCCCAGACCTCCTGCCCTCTGAGCACCTCTCTTCACCTTCCTATACCTACAACAGATGAAGGGGACAAGGGCAGCACCTACCATGGGGCAACCAGCTAAAACATGGCTAGAGCAGAGTGGGTCTCAAGCCCCAGTGTTCACGCCAGAAGCCAGCATGCAAGGCGGGGACCAGGGATAGTACCCCCCGCTTGCCAACAGACCCCCCAGCCCTGGGGAATTTCCACCCAGGGACTGCAGCTCCCAGTCCCACACTCCCCTGCTCCCCGGGCTAGGCACACCACTATTTCATTCTCCCTGAAATCACTCCAATAGTCATCCCGCCCACCCAGAGCCGTAATAATGCAAGCAGCTGACAGCAAAGGCCGGACACTCTGGGGTTAGATGGGGATGTCATCACGCTTGGCTACAATGAGTGGGGCAGCCTCTTGGCACTGCTGGTCTACAAATTCCACTTGTCTTCTGGGGTTTGTGACAGGGCCCTTTCCTATCTGCCTTCGTGTCATCTGACATTGTGTGTATCACTTCTTTTTCAAAAACTTCACTTTTAGAAAAGTACTATCTGCTTTGAGGGTATGGTGTAAAGCCTTCCCATTCAGAGTGTGACCTGTGGGCCGACACACCGCATTGGCACCAGGGGAAATGTTAGATTTTGCATTTTAACAAGATCCCAGGTGATTCCTACACATGCAGGTTTGAGGAGCTGCGGTATGAAGCCCAACCTTAACTTGGGCAAACAGAGGAGGATGCCAACCTCTGTGGGGCAGTTTCTGATATGTGAATTCCTTTTAGGACAGAGCCTGGTCTAGGAGAGGAAGGGCAGCGCGTGAGGCTGGGGCCAGCTCTCAACATAAGGCGTTTCCAAGCCCTCCCTGCCCCAGGCACTGTCCCGGAAAGGCCTTCAGAATTTGGAGTCAGGAGTACATCATCTCTCTCTTGTTCTTAACCAAGAGGACCTTGGGTTAATTATCAATCTCCACCATTAGGAAACACAGCAACATTTCAGTGGCAACCCTTACCCACGGCGCTAAGAGTAATCAAAGGGTCAACTTACTGCTGTCTCCATTCTTTTACCATTGCACCATACGTCCATAGTGTCTTTTTCTGTAAAAGCAACAAACCAAAAGAAACCACTATAATCTATGACTCAAATATAAAGTTAACTCTATTATTTTAAGAAAAGTTTGATATACTGGATTTCTAAAACTCCATTAACTTTTCACAGCTTTCCAATTCTTCTAAATTTGAAGAAACTACGTTTACTCTTGGTTCACAGACAAAATAAAAATGAAACAAAACAATCTTTTAGGAGACGATCATGGCCCCAGTACAAATGGATGAAGCCCTGTTGAGCAAAATAAACACTGCAACACGAACTTCAGTATTGAGGACGCACAGAAATGAGTGCAAGGAGGGGCCTCGCCACACAGACTGGCATCAGTGACCAGATGATCCCCCCCCCCGCCTTTCTTTTTTTTTTTTTTTAAGTAGCAAAAGTTTTGTAATTTATTGGAGTTATTTATAAGGATAGTAAAGCTGTTTTCTTTTTTGTTGTTGTTGTTGTTTTTGTTGTTTTATTCTTATGTTAATCCCCATCCACCCCCGCCTTTCACACAGAGCCAGGTGGATGATGGCATAAAGAGGCCACCAAGAAAGGCTACGACAGGGTTCACGTAGGATGGACAGCATTCAGGCTCAGAAATTTAACCTTGAATTTCCTACTGGATAGCCCAGTAACCTCTATTCATTTTTGTAATGCTTTCATTTTGGCGAAGAATTATTGGATCATAAGAAAAAATGCAGGCATCCCTGGTGGACTCTGCTGACACTATGGAGCAAAATGCTGCCATGAGCCAGCTGGGCATTAGTCAAGCTATCAGGGCTCACTTGGGGAGGCGTGTACATGTGTGCACGTGTACACAAACACGTGTGCATTTCGGGGGAGGATCCCCAGGCCCACTTGCGAATATTAGTGTCCTGGCAGGTGGCGGGAAAGACCACACTCATCAAGCAGTCACAAGATGAGCTGTGGGTGTTATAATGAAGCCTAGAACTGGGACCTGGGTGCACCCAGGGGTCAAAAACTTGCCTGCGGGTCAAGCCTGGGGTGCCAGTCAGGAGCTTGTCTACTCCAGGAACACAGTCTAATAGGGACTCCTTTCTCCCCACACCTTGAGACAGGGGTCTCAGAGAGCGGAGAGAGGCCTCTGAGCTGGGCTAAAGGGAGAGAGAGGCCGAGGGCCCCGGCCTAGGAGATATGGGCACTGGTTGCCCTGGCGGCAGCCTGAGCGGGGAGCATCAACAGGCGCAGCTGTAGGGAAACTGAGCTTGTCCCAACACCTGAGCAGGGCATATGGTGCTAAAGTAAACCATGCTGGTGGTCAAGACGGGAATTTTATTTAATATGTCCACCGAACATGCGCAGGTATCAGATTTTCTAGAAAGCTATTATTAATGTGCCTCTGAAGGAACCTGCTAACCCAGAAGCCATAAAAGAAAAATGGAATATATTTGATTACATAAAAGTAAAGAGTATTTCTGCATTACTTAAAAAAACATGTACACACATAAGCAAAGTCATACAATAAACGACAGACTGGAAAAAAATAAGCAAAACTCATAGGACAGACAAAAGTCTAATCTTACTAACATAAAGACTCCGAGCAATCAAGGAGAAAAAGACCAACAACCCAAAAGGAAGTGGCTCAAAGGACACAAAAATGCATTATCAGAAAAGACAAACAAAAGGACCTCAAATGTGAAAAGATGCTCAACCTCACTTAATTTTGAAAAAGGCAAATAAAAACAACACTGAAATACCATTTTTCATGTAGCAGAATATTAAAAAAAATTTTAAGATCTGACAACATGCTCAGCTGGAGAAGCTGTGGGGAAATGAGTACTGGAAGCACAAAATGGTAAAAGCACCAGGAGGGGCAATGGGGCACAATCCACTCAAATGACAAGCACAGTTATGTTGAACCAGCGATCCTATTTTCCCACTTCTGGGATTTTATGCTAAGGAGATAATGTCAACTATATTCCAAGAGGCATGTGAACAAAGCTCTTCATCCAACACTGCTTCCAACAGCAACAGATTAGGAATAGCCCAAGTGCCCAGCTGTCAGGAGCGAGTTGAATGAACTTTTATTTATTAGGAGATTGACTCTAAGAAAAAGTATGAGGAAGCTCTTTATGTGCGGTTATAAGACGATCCTCAGAATATATGAATAAGTCAATAAAGCAAGATGCTTTTATGAAATAAGGTAGTATTAAAATTTTGTATTGGCTTGAATCTGAATAAAGAAACACTGGAAGGACTCACTATTAAAAAGGGCTTATCTTTATTAGGGAAACAGGGTGGATGGGAATAGGGATGGAAGCAAATTTCTCCATGTATCTTTCTTTTCATATTGTAATTTCTGAATCATATGAGTATAGCACCTGTTTAAGTATGTATGTTAACAAAAGAACCTATGTATACAGTATTAAATCATGGCTCAGATGTGGATGCAGGGAGTCATAGGAGGTCCTGGAGCGTGTGCACCTTGCAGCCTCTTCTCTCTGCCTGCCTGCAGCTTCTCTAGAAACAATGAATGAGCAGCTTTAACATATGCCCAGATTATGCTCTTGAAATACCATTTTCCTCTAAAAGAAACCAGGGCTTCTTGGAGAAAAGGGTGATTCCACATCTGAGTAGAAGATGTTCAAAATGAGCCTAGGACATCGTGTCATACCAGAAAGCAAGGAAGCTTTCAAAGTCTACCAAGGATGTGTCAAAAGGACTCAGGAGCCAATCTAAAGAGCACACCATTGGCCAAAACTGGGACAATTTGATGGCCAATAAGAATAATAACTTCAGTTTGTTGTAATACACATCAAATTGTTTAAATCTATGAGTTAATGATTAAAAAAAAAAAAACCTTAACGATCACCTTTAGAAGAAAATAAGGAGCCAATTCAGTATTTTGAAAACTAGTAAAGGGAAAACAAGTGTTATTCTGCATTTCTTATATGAATTGTACCTCTGTACAACCAAATAGTAGATGACAAGAAGTTTTTCATTTTAGAAATATTCCAGAATATCACCATTTGGCAACTGCTAAGGAATTACTGGATGCAAAAATTAGGTATTAATGGTTGCCAACATCAAAAAAATTTACAAATGGGGCGCCTGCGTGGCTCAGTTGTTAAGCATCTGCCTTCGGCTCAGGTCATGATCCCAGGGTCCTGGGATAGAGCCCCGCATCGGGCTCCCTGCTCCACGGGACGCCTGCTTCTCCCACTCCCCCTACTTGTGTTCCTTCTCTCACTGTGTCTCTCTCTGTCAAATAAATAAATAAAATCTTTAAAATAAATAAATAAATAGGGTGCCTGGTGGCTCAGTCGGTTTGGCGTCTGCCTTCGGCTCGGGTTGTGATCCCGGGATCCTGGAATTGAGCCCCGCGTCAGGCTCCTTGCTCTGCGGGGAGCCTGCTTCTCCCTCTCCTCCGCACTTGTGCTCTCTCTCACTATCTCTGTCTCTCTCTTTCAAATAAATAAATAAAATCTAAAAAGAAAAAAAAATAAGCTCATTGACTAATTAAACCCTCACAAACCTTTGTGGTCATTTGCTTGGAGTATCAACTTCCTCCTGTAAGCTGATATG